CCTGGTCTGGGTGCATGTGGGAGGCAACCAATCAATGTATCTCTCTTACATTGATGTTTCTCTCTTTCTCTCTCTCCCCCTCTCCTCTCCCTTCCCCTTCCCCGGCTTCTACTCTTTCTAAAAATCAATGGAAAAAATATCCTTGGGTGAGGATTAAAAAAAACGAAAACAAAAAACCACCACATTCGTGATATATTCAGTGGAAAAAACCCCACAAAGCATAGTAAAAACAGTACTACAATAGATTCCTTAGTTTTTTATACATATACACATAGGAGAAAGTCTTGAAAGACATACCAAAAATATTAACCAAGAGGCTTTCTTGTCGTTGGGATTGATACATTCTCTCTCTGCTTCAGTTTTTAGTATTTTCTATGCTGAACATTTATAATATCTACAGACAGAGAAATCCCAAATATTATGAATACAGGGTTCAGGAAGATCATCAAGTGTGTGTTCCAACCCACTTTATAGATAAACAAAAGAATTTCAATAAGTTGGTTCAAGCTCATGATTTTGGACCTAAATGCAAACATGAACAAAGGAATGAATTATTCTTTTTGACCCACATAACGAGTCAGGAATAAAATTTATTGCACCATCAAATCTAATAATTCGCTCTATTCCTTTGCTCTTGAGCTTCAGTCTGCTAAATAAGTGGCAAACTCTTCCTCCACAGGTTTAGCTTTTCGAAGGCTCAGTGCAGTTGTGATGGTGGTGGCTTTGGCACCACGGAAATGTTTGGCAATGCTTAGCAGCAGCATCCTGCTCAGGTGGCATCCTCTGACTCACTAATTACTCTTCTGTGACTTCAAAGAAAAAAAAGCTACGGGCACAGAGATGTTCACAGTAGAGTTATTAATGAAAAAACTGGGTAGATCAGGTACCCAGCAATAAGAGAACAATGGAAACAAGTTGACTGAACTTTATGATGACAATGAACTCCGCTATGGGGCTACGGTGTGGGATGCTGTTTTTCTGTTCCTAGGGCAGAATGCAGCTGCTTTTGGTCAGGGGCAAAGTGTCACTCGGGGTCGTGCACGGCACCTGGTAAGCGTGGTCGGTGTGCACGAGGTAGAGGGTGGTAGGGGCCGAGCGGCTCAAGGGCGTCATCAGTTTAGTCTCGGTTTTGGCACCAGGGCTTTCTGTTCTGCTTGAATCCGGGATGGGGAAGGTGGGAGGTGAAGCCAGGGACTGGGAGGGCGAAGCCGGGGCCAGGCTGCCCAGTCCGTCTGCCACCGCGTCCGTGTTGAGCTTGATCTCCGTGTAGTAGAAGTCCTCCTCACCATCGCTGTAATCAGAGTCCCCAGCACGCCTAATGCAAAGGACAGCAAAACAGTCAGACCACGCCATCTCGCACGGCTGTGCCCTCTGTCTGGAATGCTTAACCTCTACTGCCTCCTTACAACATTCTCTAGGGCTTTGGTGTCCACAACCAACATGAAATGCCCCCTGTCCTATCGTCACGCTCATGGTCTAAGGCGAAGGCGGTCCTCTCCCCAGTACCAGAGAGCAAGAGCTCCTGTGAACCCTGCGGTCTTGGGGGTGCTGGCAGGCTGCGAACCCCAGTCCCAGGGCCTCTGTAGAGCAGAGCACAAAGGGAGCCCGGGGAGCAATGAACTTTGCCACCGTGACAGCATCCGGAGCTCAAAGGGCACGGCTGGCGCCGCCTACTCTGCAGACTCTGTTGGGCGGATGGGCACAGCTCTGCGCGGTGCTGGACAGGGTTCGATTCCCTGGGCAGATGGGCTTGACAACAGACCCCCTACATCCTGAGCGTGGCTACGGGAGGTTCTCGCTGGACCTTTAAAGAAGCAGAGCTATTTCCGTCAAGGTCGTCCTGACATGAGGTCAGGGAGACACGCCTGACTTCCCCCTTGGAGTCCTCAGGCGGCTGCCCAGAGGGTGCAGGGCGACCCTGGGCCACACCCACTGGGTGACCTGCATGCTGTGCTCTGGGAGGGATGGGCTATGTCCGCAGACATCAGCCCCATGAAAGGGGAGGAGGTCCCTTCTCTGCCCCACCCACGCAGGTCAGCGAAATCACGCCAGAACCTGGTTATTTCCTTTCTATTCCACTGCGATGGATGCTGCACGTCCTACATTGATTCCTTGCAGGGCAGAGAGACTGCAGTGTCCATTTCTCATCCTGGGGGGAGGACTGCTCTGTGCCCAAGCATCTGGGGCTCGGCATGTATCTGGGTTTGCCGTCTGCACCCCAGTCAGGACTGCAGCTTCTCAAGGGCGCCTTTCAGTCCCAGATCCCTGGACAAGAGGGACCCAGAGCCCACAGGCCAAGACTGGGAACCACCGCTGCCCCGGGAGGGCCTCACCAACGGGCTTCTTTCCTGAGAAAGGTTCTCATAAAACACAAGGAAAGCGACAGAGGCAGGGCGCCAGAGGTCACGGCCATCGCAACAGCAGCTCTGATGGGCACAGTGGTGCCTTAACCCTTTTCAGGCTCTAAGTCACGAATACTCTCCATCAGGGGGGGAAAAGCACATCTACATCTGCCCTGCTGCTGTACTTTTACAAATGGCTCTCCCCACGTTTTACTTTTGACCTTCACATGTGACCCCTGCAGGGCTGACTGTATTGTTAACCTCATCTTCAGAGGAAACCGGGGCGCAGAGCAGTCCCTGACACCCCTCAGTGCAGTACGACTTGCGGTCAAGGCCTCTGTTATCTGTCCCCCACCCCCGGCCACCCCTGTGCCCAGGCCCTTCCTGACTCCGCCTGAGCACTTGTGAGGCACAGGTGCTGGCTGGGGCCCGAGGGCGGGCCGCCCACAGCACGGAGCCCTCGCCCAGCGGGAGGGAGGTGCCTCACCCGAGGTGGACGCCGCGGATGTGCTTCTGGATCCCGGCCGCGGTGCTCAGCACCTTCCCGCAGTTCTTCCAGAGGCACTTGAACATCACCTTCATGGAGTTCTGGAGAGGAGAGAGGACGGAGAGTGAAGTGAAAACGAACCTACCAATGCTGCCGGCCCAACACCCGTCTTCCTTCCTCTTTACCCGAAGCTCATCACGACCTCACAGCAGAGTGGACAGATGGACGCGCGGAGGCTCTCTGCCTGTTTCACACGAGGAAGCTGTGCTGTGCAAATCTACCTCCACCTGCTGCGCCCGAGGTTGACCTCGTGTGTCAGTGGCCCTGCCCGTGGTCTCAGGCTGCGTCTGGCCCCGGGAGACAGGAGGCTCTGGACTCCCCGGTCCCTTCCCGCCTGGCCAAGCTGGGCGGGCTGCCTTCCTCCTCCGAAAACCGTGGGTGTTTCCAGAGTTGTGGTAACTTTATGGATTCTGGAAACTCCTTTCTTTACTTGTCCCTTCAGACTTAGGGGTGGTGAGGGCCTTGCCCTATAGTTAGCTCTTGGGATCCTGGGGTACCACCCCACCCCACCCCACCCCAATCCTACACCTTTGCAAAGAGTCTCTTTAAACTCTTTCTACATTTTTTTAAAAATATATTTTATTGATTTTTCCACAGAGAGGAAGGGAGAGGGATAGAGAGTTAGAAACATCGATGAGAGAGAAACATCGATCAGCTGCCTCCTGCACACCCCCCACTGGGGATGTGCCCGCAACCAAGGCACATGCCCTTGACTGGAATCGAACCCGGGACCCTTGAGTCCGCAGGCCGACGCTCTATCCACTGAGCCAAACCGGTTCTGGCCTCTTTCTAAATTTTTAAACAAATTTATTGATTTGAGAGACAGGAAAGGAGAGAGAGAGGGAGAGAGAGTCCCTGTTCTACCCGTCCACACATTAACTGCTTGATTCTTGTATGTGCCCCAGACCAGCAATCGAATCCACCACCTTGGTGTGTAGGGACAACACTCCCACCAACTGAGCACTTGGCCAGGGCCGTCCAGCTCTTTAACTACCCGCTGGGTACATCACCCGCTTCCTGCCTGGACCTGGAGGATGCAGGGAAAGCAGGTTATGAAAGAATGTGAACGACACGATCTTTCTGGGGGAGGTATGTGATGCAAACACACATGCATTCCTGCGTGGTGAAGCGCGGGGGAGGGGCAGCGTATTCAGACATTAGTTTCCAAATATAAAAATCACCCTGTTTTTAAAGTTAAAAAGGTATTTCTTTATAGGTGGAGGTCCCCCTATAATACTTGCAGGACTAATCTGGAGAATAAGAGCACATTAGCGGATGAGCTCAACTTTAATGGAAGCAGCAGTCTCTGTTCATAGGTGGAGGTGGCCCGCGTCAACCAGGAGGCCCCTTGCATGCTGGTGGGTGCTTGCCAATGTCCTGACTACACCCGCGAAACAATCCTCCCGTGCACACAGAGCCACTCTTTAAAAAAAAAATTTTAAAAATATTTTTAATTGATTTCAGAGAGGGAGAGAGAGATAGAAACATCAATGATAAGAGAATCATCGATCAGCTGCCTCCTGCACCCCCCCCCCCACCGGGGATCGAGCCCACAACCCGGGCATGTGCCCTTGACCGGTATTGAACTCAGGACCCTTCAGTCCGCAGGCTGACACACTGTCCACTGAGTCAAACCGGCCAGGGCCAGAGAGCCACTCTTACGCGGCAGGAAAGCGAGCCCTGCATGAGGAGACCGGAGACAATGTTTGTTCAACACGGCCCAGCCCGCCCCACGGGCCCCAGCTCTGCCAGGGCAGCCAAACCAAGCCCAGCTGCAGGCACAAGCGCAGCCTCCGATCGGACGGTGACCACCTGCGCTCGAACCTGGCTTCTCCTGGCAGCTGCACCGTTGTTCTCCTGACACTGCCCTGGGGGCTAGGCGGCCGGGCTGCCTCGCTCTCTCCCCTGAGGCCTCCGCCTGCTGTGAACTGTCGCCCACACGGGATGCCTGGAGTGGCGTCCGCTTTCCCGACAGACCAGGCTGACACACAGGACTGACAAAGGCCAAGGTCCCCTCAGTTCCCAGCAGGTGGGCCCAGCTGCATCCTGACGGTCCACACTCATCTCCCGGCCAGTCCGCCCGGAGCTGCCGGGGTTACCCGCCCCGGGGCGCCTGATAGGACCCTGAGGTGTGTGCACACGGCGATGAGGGTGTGCATGTGTGCGTGTGAGTGTGCATGTGAACATGTGTGCTGGGGATGGAGGCTCAGACAGGAGGACCAGGGCCTCGGAGGAAGGAGCACAGGTGAGCTCCCGGCACCGTCCTCAGCGCCACGGGTGGGAGGCCCCTCACTGTGCGGCAGAGGCTCAGTGACCTCCCCCTTTGTCCTCCCGGCTCTGGCTGGAGGGCGGTCATCACGTGACACCCACCGGGAGGGACGGAGCTGCTTTCCTGGCAGCTGCCTGGTCCTGGCCGATGGGCCCGCTCCTGGGGCAGCGGGTTTCCTGCCCACGCGCTGTGCTCAGCGGGCGTGAGGAACGCAGTCAGCCGACGGGTGCTCGCTCCTGCGCGGGCCTCGCCGACTTGCCCACTTTAGAGCGAGTCACCCTTTCCGGGTGTGGAAGGCAGACGTGGTCCGTTCACTGATTACTCCTGCGCAGCCGGCAGTTAACTTGGCGCTCTCCCCTCTGACTGAGGATCTGCCAAGTGCACAGGTAGAGTGGCCCCGGCCAAGACACCTGCGAGGGAGGAGGAAGGAAGGGCCCGGCTCAGCTTCATCGTCAGATCCAGGCGGCGCCGCCCCTTTGTGAGGGGGCCCTGACGTGTCCATTACCATGTGTCTGCCACGGGGGCGGGGCTCAGGGCACAGTGACCTTTCTATGCTTAGTCACTCTGAATCTTCATGATGTCCCGGCCGAGGGTTGGTAACTGCTGTTAGTTTGTGTTGCAGATGAAGAAGCCGATGGTCAGAGAAGGGAAATGATTTTCTGAAGTTTGCAGGGTAGCAAAGTTGAGCTGAGCACGGGGCTCCTGCGACTTCTGATGAGGGCCCCTCCCTGTCCCACGGATCATGTTCTCTCCCCAAGCGTTTTGCCCACGAGCCACAGTGGCTCCCTATGCACAGCACATACACGAGCGAACAAGCGAGACAGGAGCGCCGAGAAACGATGCCCTGATCGCGTACGAAGCACTGGATTCTCTCAGCTCAAGAACGGAGTGCTGTTTATTCTCAGCCCATTAAGCTGCTGTCAGCAGGGCACTGAGCACCGATCCCTGCGCGGAGTCCCGGCCCCCACGCCGGCCACCTCTGAAGACAGCCGGGGCCACGCACTCAGATGACCCCAGAGAAAGCCTGACCACCAGGATGGCCCTTCAGTCCCCATCGCTGCCTGGTAGCTCGCTGACCGGTCAGGCGAACACGGACGCCGCGCTAGCCCAGCCCCTGCCCGGTGGCTGGTGGGAGCAGCATCAGCATCTTCACGCCCCGCCTCCGGAGGCAGGCGCTCCTTTCTCCCTGGCTCTCTGGGTAGGGAGCCCGCAGCCTCCACAGCGGCACACGCAGGGGACGGAGCGGAGACGGAGGGATCGATGCTGGGGTCGATGCCGGCTGCGTGTTTTCCTCTTGGAAATAAATTGGGGGGAAGAGGTTGCATGGCAGTCCTCAGGGTTTTGCTTTGGGTTTTTGTTTGTGAATAGTGATTCCCAATGAAGCTACTGAGAACCACTTACAGGACCAATATATAAAGTAGCAGCCTCACACGGACATGGCCATCAAAAAATAACGTGAGCCCTGACCCGTGTGGCTCAGTAGATAGAGTGTTGACCTGCAGACTGAAGAGTCCCAGGCTCGATTCAGGTCAAGGGCATGTACCTTGGTTGCGGGCACATCCCCAGTAGGGTGTGTAGGAGGCGGGTGATCGATGTTTCTCTCTCATCGATGTTTCTAACTCTCTATCCCTCTCCCTTCCTCTCTGTAAAAAATCAATCAAATCTATTTTAAAAAAATAACGTGAAAAGGTATTCGAGATGTAGCAGCAGATCGCTTCATCCTACAAAGTGAAATCCTTTTGGAAAATTGTGAGTGGTCATGATAGTGTAAATACACACAAAGAGGATGGAAAGAATATGAGCTTTAGGTTCGGGCAGACCTGGGTTTGAGTGGCAGGCCTGGCCCTTCAATCCTCAGGACAGGGCAAGCTCAACGTTTAATCTCCCTGATCCTCAATTGCCTCATACCAAGTTGGGAGAATGATACCTACCGGCCCTGGCTGGTTGCTCAGTGGTTAACGTGTCGGCCCTCGCACCGAAGGGTCTTGGGTTCAATTCCCAGTCAAGGGCACGTACCTTGGTTGCAGGTTCCACAGCCGTGGCAGGGGCACATGCGGGAGGCAACCAACTGATGCGTCTTTCTCATATCAATGTTTCTCTCTTTCTCTCTCCTTCCATTCCACTCTCTCTAGAAATCAATGGAAAAAATATTCTCTGGTGAGAATAAAAAAAAAAATAAGGTACTTACCAGACAGGACAGCTGTGAAGATTAAATAAATGTGTAATCAATGCATTAAATCAATTTATTAGAGCTCTTTTTCAGGTTTAGTTTAGTAAACCAGTTTTTGGTCTGTAAGTACATACATGCGTTTATGTGTCAGCTTTCTTCTTTTTTTTTTTTTTTATCCTCACCCGAGGACATGCTTAGAGAGAGAAACATTGATGTGAGAGAGAAACAGCTATCGGTTGGCTTCCGGAATGCTCCCCTATCGGGGATCAAGCCCCTGCCCCAGGCATGTGCCCTGAGTGGGAACGGAACCAGCAACCCCTCAGTGCATGGGAGGAGCTCAGCCAACCTGGCCTGGCTGGGGCAGCTTTCCTGCATGTTTCACAGCCCGTTTTATGAAAATAAGACACAAAAATTCTCCCAATATGTTTTTGAAGCAGAAAATAGAAAAGGGAGTTTGTTTTTATTTTACAGGTGAAAAAATGTAGTCCCAGGAAGAGTGAGTGAGGCACCAACCCACGCCTGACATGCACTTTTGTAGCTTTCAGACCCTGGTCAACGCTGGGCACCTCTGTCCACATGGCACCAGGCGGCAGAGGGTGGGTGCCCACACTGGGTGGTTCTGCCCTGGTCAGGCCCTGGGTGTATCCTGGGCCCTCAAAAAAGGAGCGGGAGGAGAGGCTGACCTTTCTCTTCCTGGGGATGGGCTCGTCGAAGAGCAGGTTGCCGGCCTCGGCCTCGTCGATGCCGTCGTCGGGCGCGGGGCTGCGGAAGGGCTTGGCGCAGTCGGCGGACAGTGGCGGCGACGGTGTGGACGGGTTGGACTGGTCGCTGGGGGCGCTCCAGCTCCAGTAGCCGCTGCTGCAGCTGCTGGACGGGGCACCGCTCTCCTTCCAGGATCCGCTCATGCCCTCTGCGAGCCAGACAACCAGCGTCAGTGCGGCAGGGTGCAGGGGCCGGGGTCACGGACGCGGGGGCGGGGGGGCTGGACCCTACTAAGCACCTGCAGCCCCCCGCCCCCCAGAAATGTGCAACAGCTGGGGATGCACTACGCATACCTTGGGAAGAGAGGTGCATTACCCTTTATAAACACTGAGCTATTTTATCACATGACAGGCTTTCCTAACAGCTCTCTGATGTGGGTGGTTTTGGGATGACAGTGGAGGGGGTATGAAAACAAGAAAGAAAAAGATGCCTTGTTCACTAAGTTTGGGGAGCTCTGAGTTTACTGGTGTTTCTAAGAGGGAAATCATTTGCAATATTGTCCCCCTCCCCCAACCCATGTTTCTCATAGGTCTGAGATCTTTGGAGTAGGTTTGTGGAAAAAGTTAGTCCCAGATGTAAGAGTCTAAGAGAAATAACATTATAGGAAATAACAGTGCCTTGCATTTGTTGTTTTCCATCTCACAAAACTCATTCACACAGGCCCGTGCATCCTCACAACATCTGTCTCTCAGAGCAAGGACGGTCACGCGGGTTTTACAGACGAGCATCTGAGGCACAGGAAGCTGTGACTTGCCACAGAGCCAGAGGTGGACCAGAGCCCAGACCCTGGTCTACCAGTTGGCTTCTTTCTCCTTCAGGGCATGGCCCCGTGTGGTAGGAATCCTCCTCTCTTTCCAACAAGCTGAGATCAGAGGAGAATTTATGGGCAATATTTACTGATAAGACAGCTGTTGAATTCTTCCTTTGCACTTGCAGGGAAACGGAACATTTGCTAATATGAGAGATCTTTGTCCGGTTAGAACGCCGTGGAAGGCTCCTTATAGACTTGACCTTCTTGTTGGATAATTTCTCCTCCATGTTTATGTGCATTTTGAGTACAGTAAAACTATATTTTAAGTTCAAGGGGAGGGGGGGAGGAATCCCAAAATGTCTCATTATGCTGTAAACATTGGTGTAATTAGTAACGAAGTGAAGACACACAATGGGCCAGCATTCGTGGAAAAATGTCTTGACTACCTTCACCCAATCACAGATTTCCAGCGTATTCCTCAACTGTGTCAAGCCAAACGTTCAGTTAGAGGAATGAAGTTTTAAGCTGAAATCGTGGAAGAAAGTTACCCATCTCACTAAAGCGAGGCTCTACCCCATCAAATGGTCATTTCTGCAGATCAAGCCTTTCTGCACCAGCAAAACCAAGTTAGCATCTCCCTCCCTGCAGGCCACCGGACAGTGCTCACCGGCCCGAGAGCCTTTCCGACGCGCCAGCTGCGCCCGCAGGTCCTTCGGAGGCCTCCGGGGGCATGGCCCGGGGGGACACACGCCTCGCGGCTCAGGAGGCGTATGATACAGCACCGCGCGCACTCGTACAGTACGTGTGTGGTGCCAGCGGGGTGATCAGGGTGAGTGACTGCGCAGAGCCGGGGAGGTGATTGGGGCCTGAATCGATTTTGAAAAGCAACAATTTATTTTGAAAAGCAGTGTGTCGCATTGCCTCATGTCAATGCCCACAGTTCAGTTGCTGACTTGGGAATGACATTTCCTTTAAGAAGCGCTATTCAATGAGAAGGGCAATGTGATATAGAAATGAATTTTTCAGAAAAGTCAGAACCAATTCGAGACACATAGATGGCCGCGTCTCCTTCCCTGACACACGTATTTGGTGAAACGCAGACAGGCCCTGCAGGAAGCTCACCCTCTTTGCAGACCCACTTCCTGACAAAATGATCCTTTCTAGGCACAAAAAGAATCACAACAGTTTTAAAAAATTCAATGATATACAATAATTCCAGACATATGTCTATTTTTTAAATTAACCAACACCTTCATTATCATTAACTGCTTTCCCTCGTTAAGAATTTGCTGCCTGTTGCAGACCTAAGGAGCTAGCAGACAATTTGGGACTATAAATTGGGCAGTTATTTTTTGAAATCATAATGAACAGTGAATTCCTTTCCATATAACTATGCCAACAAAGGTTTGTGTTGTGGGAGCAAAAGGTTTATTTTGATTCTAGCCTTTCAAGACAAAGGAGCATTAAAAATGTTCTCAATTAAAAGAGAATGCCATGGAAAAATATTGATTGCGTTAAAATATACTCTTTCTTCTCTGAGGAATCTCTGACATTCTGCAGTTCCTTTTTTTCTGTTCTGTAAAACAATGAGAATCTACAATTTATTTGCATTTGGTGGCCCAGCTTGGGACAAATACTTGTCTGTAACCTTGAGGAATTTTTTTCTCTATGAACGCTTCAATCTTTTATGCAACTCCTTTCCCCTGGGATTGGTTTGGGGGTGTCTTCAGTTTTGCCTTCTCTGCAGTCTTCCTCAGGGGCCTCGCCACACTGAGCAGCGGGAGCCAGGAGGCAGTTAGAGGCCCGGCAGAGAGGGCGGTCCTTCAGCAGCAACGCCAGGCGCCCTCCCAGCACCTCCCCGCTCTGGGGGCTGCGGTGGCATCACCGCATGCGGGGTGGTGAGGGCAGGGGGCACTCCTGTGGACGGTATGGATTTGACTTCCCGGCACCTCCATCATTCTTCGAACCGACAACTGGAGTGGAGTACGTTTTGGTGAGGACTCACTGGATGTTCAACAGCTTTATTTTCACACCTGGCGCTTCCCTCCGACTTCTGTGTGGACCACACCTCAGCCTCCTAACTAGCCAGGCTGGCTTTCGAGAGAAGGGGTCCCCTTGCAGTAACTTCCCCTCCGGGGTCCCATGTTCATTTCAGCCCACTCCCGCCCCCAGGGGGTCCACCGTGCGCACTGGCCAGGAATCAGTGCCTTTGTCTGGATGCAGAATCCAGCCTGTTTCATGCTTGAGTTTCTGAAGCATCAGACGCCTGTCCTTGAACATCGCTTTTCCCTCGGCTTCCAGGAACCCACATTCTCCCCTCTCCTGACCGCTGGTCCCCCTCAGGCTCTTCCCTCTGGGTCCCTGAAGTGAGGGCGGGCCTCACCCCACCCCCA